AAAATGAAAAATGATCGGCAAATGATCGGCAAAATGATCTGCAAAATGTGATAAAATTAAGCATGACCGCTATGCTAGCCCGCAATATACGAAAATTTGTGTGTAACGGTATGTATCATTGATTTATATACGAAAAGGTTTAGCTGGCAAATTGAAGTTACACATGAAATATTTTGACCTGATCAAATGGCGTGCATATTAGTTTACAATCACGTGGTTTACCTGCAAATCAATCGGAATTTAACTCTGATTTTTTTTTTATTTAAAAGGCGTCGTTACATATGTTATGTATGTGCATAATAAGTAAAAAAAAAAAAGAAATGTCAATTGACCCTGAAACATCAAATATCGATTGGTTAGAAAAATCAATTTCTGATGAATATTTCATCGAGTTTTCTGACTTCAGCAATTTACAACTAATCGGAAATGGCTCATTTGGAAGTGTTTGGCGCGCGAATTGGAAAAATCGTTATTATGCTTTGAAATCTTTTAATGACGATACAATAACTTTGAAAAAAGTTGTAAAAGAGGTAGATAATTATAATCATTTATAATTTTCTAACAAGTTTGAAGTTAATTTATATTAAAATTCTTTATAGATAAAATTACATAAAAAAGTTGACCTTCATGAAAATATTATTCGATTTTTTGGTATCACAAGGGAAATAACTGGTAAATTTTAGGGTCATAATAAGAATTTTCGACAAAGATAATTAATTTTTTTTTTTTTTATGAATAGCAAACTCAATCCATCAAATAAACAAGTATTCTTTAGTTTTGGAATATGCTGATGGTGGAACATTAAATGCTTATTTAACTAAACATTTTAATGAGCTTAATTGGAATGACAAATATCAGCTAGCTTTACAATTGTCAAGTGCTGTAGAATTCATACATGATTGTGACATTGTTCATTGTGATTTGGTAACTTTCAACTTTTTTTTATATATCAATTATTTTATTATTGACATTTTACAATTAAATATTTTGTTCATTAATAACTTTATAGCATGCAGATAATATACTTGTACATCAGAAAAATATTAAATTAGCGGATTTTGGCTTATCAAAAAAAATTGCTAATGAATCAATAGATGCATCGAAAGCATTAGATATATTACCTTATATGGATCCTAAAAAAATAAATGAAAATAAGGATTACAAATTAAATAAAAAATCTGATGTATATAGTATTGGAGTTTTGATGTGGCAAATTTCAAGTGGATATCAACCGTTTAAAAATGTTAAATACGATGAAAATTTAACTCTGTCCATATTAAATGATAAAAGAGAAGAAATTATTTATGGAACTCCACCTGAATATAGTAATTTATATCAAGGTAAATAATATAAAATATAATATTTTTTTTTAAATCGAACTCTAAAATTTATTCATTCAATTAGAATGTTGGAAATACGAAACAGAGAATCGTCCTAATATGGAAAAAGTCATTTTAATTCTTAAAACAATTATTTCTTTTGAAAACAGTGAAATAATTAATGCAAGTCTTATTGAAGAAATTGAATTACCGATAAAAAGTAAATCAAGTAAATCAATTAAAGAAATAGATGAGGATTTAGAGAATTTAGAAATATCTGAAAATTTTAATTTTTATAATGATAATGAAAACTGTTCAAAACTGCAAAGCATACAATCCTTTCAATCAAATTTGACGGATCTCAAAAATATTTCACTAATTAATTTGTCAAAAAATAATAATCTTGAATCAATTATAGAAATTGATGAGGATTTAGATGATCTAGAAATATCTGAAGATATTGCTCATTACGATAATGCAAGTTTAAAAAGTAAAAAATCTTTTCAATCAGATGTTCCGAATTTTAAAATTAACTTTTCAAGCTCACTCTATACAGTTAATAATTCATCAAAAAACTCAATTGATTTGATATTTATAAATCATACAACAGTTGATAGATTAATTAAATTGGTAATTAAAAAACACAACGAAGGTATCTCTTTTGATCAAATTAAACAATTTATTAATCAAAAAGTATCGCGATTAAATAAAATAGAAAATCTTTTAAATTGGCTAAAAAAGGAGACAAAAGCACAATATTTATGGTTTCTTAGATTATTCTATTATTTCAATATTTATATAGATGCAGATATAATTGAAGCAGTTAAATTATTTTTAAAAGCAGCAGAAAAAAATTGTTCAATTTCACAAGTTTATCTTACTAAATGTTATTATAATGGATATGAAATCAAATGCGATAAAAACCTTTCATTTAATTGGTATAAGAAGTCTGTAGAAAATGGAAGTATAATAGGACAACTTTATTTAGGACATTGCTATGAATATGGCATCGGAACCAAACAAAATGAAACGAAAGCAGTATATTGTCCTATAAGAAATCGAAATAAAGAAATGATACGTTTTTTATAAGGTTTGTATACGTAATTAATGATTCTATATCAAAA